TCTGAGGGTCCTCATGCGACAGGCGATTCGTCAACGTCTAGCCCGACCTCTCCAACGACCCACCCGACTATGTCGCAAACACATCATTTTGGTCGTAATGGTCGGGACTGCCCCGAACTTACCCTACTCCCCCTGAAGTCGCGGAAGAATCACACCAACCGCAGATTATGCAGGTTTTGCTCCCTAGGACCCTCCCGACTTAAGGTAAGTTTTTCTCAACCGAGCCCCTTGCTTGTGTTTGTTTTGGGTGATTTCCTTTGCCTCACTCGCAGCTACCCGGTGCCCCCGAACAGCCACCCGTTTCCCCCACAGCCCTCGGCAACAACCACGTCTGCCAACTCCCAGCAACTTGGCCACCTCTCAACAACTCCGATAACTGCTTCGCCCCTACGACCCGACAAACTCAACCACACTCCGCATGATGACCCCAATCTGTGCTGGCAATTGCCGTCGCCATTCGGCCTACTTTCTCTCGTCGCATGCAAACCACGCTTCTTCACCCAGAGACAGCAGCTCACTCCTCCCGCCGAAAAATATATTTCTATTCAAGAGCTATGGCACAATGCACTTATGTATTCAAAATCGTGACACTATCTTCTGATGCTGGCGTGGCTTGTGACTATGAAACTTAGCAAAGACCGACAGGTCAGCAGAGGCTCACTCGATACGCGCCAACAGCATGGTTCTCAAAATCGTGCCACGTTGTCGATGCGTGTTACTTTCGTGCAGCACGTTATCTCGGCGCGCGCGGTTCACGTGAAGGGGTTGAACGCACGTCTGAGCTAGAAGGCACACTCCTGAAGGAAGGAGGTGCTTGGAAAACCTTACACAGCAGTGGTTGAGCTTGTAGAATGGGACTGACGTGCTAGACCCCATCAGCAGTGGTGTTAGAAGCATGGGGGTAGTTGTGTTCAGGGCGTATTTGGCCGCAAAAATTCTCTAACCGTTTCCTTGTTTGGCACCTAAAAACAAACCCTCTGCATTATCGATTTTATATCTTTCTTATGAACAACTTAAAAAACTGCACACCTGGTGTGAAAGCCTACAACCATGGAACGGGTCTTGTAGCATGAACTTAGACATCAAAGTGGAGACTTTGATGAGGTTGGGCAAGTTGTCGCCCTTTCTAGTCTTGCTGAAATGTTCGGGCAGCACGTTTTCCCTTTGTTGGAAATTTTACTGCACAGAACTGTGGAACTGTTTTTCTCTTGCCATTGATAGCGAGCTAAAACGAAATACACACACGGGCTCATTAAACTCGGAAACGAAATTCACACACGGACTTAGTAAACTCAAACCGTAGCAACTTCTCTGATCTGGCGTGTAAAGCGTTTGGTGGAAATACCCTGCTAGCTACCAATTCCGTGAGATCAATCACCCTACAATTTCCCCACGAGTCTAATAGATACTCAGACCACGCGTATCAAGATAACTCCTGCCAACCAATGCACCTGTCCTAGACTTACAGAACAAGCCAAACCAGTTAGGGACCTCGCTGCTGCATCACGCCGGAACTTGCTAGCTGGTGTGGCACAGCAATGCCAGCACATCGAAGTGGTAGCGATTGCCGCGTGACAGATACTGCCAAACAAATATCTGCGCTTCCACGCGAAATCAGAGCCCGTTTGTCGTGAACCTAGGCACGCGAGCAAGACCTGCCATGAAGCTCCCTGCCACCGCATCCTCGACCGAACCTGAGGCGAGTAAACTGAGGCAGTTCCACACTGTGTGACGCAGCCAGTAGAGGGCCTGGTTGACTCAGCCAGCTCTAAAAACGGAACATAACGACGGGGGGGGGGGGTCAGTTACCCGACTATAGATGCAATCGCGAGGCCTGAAAACGGTGAGCAAACATCCGAGTGCGCAAGAGTCATGAACGTTGTGTGTGCAGTACTCATCCCCTCTCACAAAGAGCCTGTAGGTCTCGTGGGGGCGAGGTGGCGTCAAATGTTTGATTTGATGCCTTAGACCTGAGGTTGTTTACTCAGCCCACGGCAACTGCATTTCGTGACATCTTGGCATAGAGGCCACACACGCAACCTCACTAAGCATGGTAATTGTTAAGCATAATACAGCTCTAAAGCTCTCTAACAAGAAATAACATAATAGCAGCCGCGAGTTGGCTGTGTCACCATATTGTAAGATATGACTTAGATTATACCTAGGCAGCATTTGCAGGGTCCAATTATTGAACCTCTCTGGCATCTCTCTCGTTCCTGCTACTCTCGTTTCTCTCGCCATTACCAACTCCAATACAGCTCTGCTGCTGCCAATACAGCTTTGCTGCTGCCGCTACAAACGTGTTCTGCAAGCAAACGTGATACTACATGCCATACAGCTTGCTCTTGCACATTTTGCGAAATCACAAAGCATACGCTGCTCCAATAGATCTGGTCATAGGGATGAGGCACTAATGCCTTACACATACCTGCTAGTAACATAACAAACAAACGCTAAACCAAGATCCCTAAGGAGCCCCTTTTCACAAGAAATCTCCACAGTTGTTCAGATCCAAGACCTAAACCCTACTCCAACTTAACACTACATCTTAATCAAACATGTTTGATTCCCAACAGATACTCAGTGACCGTGATAAACCTCGCAACAAGGTGGACCCCAACTGTGGTAGTCCCTTCCTCCACCATGGTGCGCAGCACACCTGCGCAATAGTACATCATGCAAGAAACATTAGGCAGGTACCAGGTTCTTTTCCATTTGTTTGGAACATTGCATCTAACGGAAAACTTCAGCTTACCACGCTGCATCTCCCTTGGCGTCTGGACATGGCCGCACACCTCACCCACGTCGCCAGCATCTGCAGTGGCTTGGGTAGTGTTGGCATGCACGTCCACAAGTGCAGGCTGGTTTTCTCCGCCTTTTCCCCCAGGATCTGGTCCCATGGTAGCTTCAGCAGCATTCTCGCGGGCAGGTGCGAGTGGTGACAGAGCTGGCTTCGGCTCAGCGGTAGCCTCAGCTCCTCCCGCGAACGGTGCAGCTACTGGTGACGGGGCTGGCTTCAGCTCAGCGGTAGCCTCAGCTCCTCCCGCGAACGGTGCGGCTACTGGTGACGGGGCTGGCTTCGGCTCTGCGGTAGCCTCAGCTCCTCCCGCGAACGGTGCAGCTACTGATGACGGGGCTGGCTTCGGCTCTGCGGTAGCCTCAGCTCCTCCCGCGAACGGTGCAGCTACTGGTGACAGGGCTGGCTTCGGCTCAGCGGTAGCCTCAGCTCCTCCCGCGAACGGTGCGGCTACTGGTGACGGGGCTGGCTTCTGCTCTGCGGTAGCCTCAGCTCCTCCCGCGAACGGTGCAGCTACTGATGACGGGGCTGGCTTCGGCTCTGCGGTAGCCTCAGATCCTCCCGCGAACGGTGCAGCTACTGGTGACGGGGCTGGCTTCGGCTCAGCGGTAGCCTCAGCTCCTCCCGCGAACGGTGCAGCTACTGGTGACGGGCATGGCTTCGGCTCAGCGGTAGCCTCAGCTCCTCCCGCGAACGGTGCAGCTACTGGTGACAGGGCTGGCTTCGGCTCAGCGGTAGCCTCAGCTCCTCCCGCGAACGGTGCAGCTACTGGTGACGGGGCTGGCTTCAGCTCAGAGGTAGCCTCAGCTCCTCCCGCGAATGGTGCAGCTATTGGTGACAGGGCTGGCTTCGGCTCAGCGGTAGCCTCAGCTCCTCCCGCGAACGGTGCAGCTACTGGTGACAGGGCTGACTTCGGCTCAGCGGTAGCTTGCTTTTCGAGCTCTGCGGCTATAGGTGACGGGCCTGGATCCTGCTTAGAAGGCGCTGAAGTCGCATCGGCATCTCCCAATGGATCCGCAGCAACTGGTGACGGGGCGTGCGTCCGCTCCCGGAGCTCCTCGTTCTTCATGTAATCTTCAAGCAGCAGCATTTCACGTTCTTCTTGGTACACTGCCTGAGTGTCGATTTCATATCCACGGTCCTTGTTGATCCTTCTCAACATATCCTGAACGTCTCCACGCCCCGCGCCTCACGCCCTCCGGCCACGGTATGCAGCGCGTTGACAGGATGCGCATGCGGGGTGACGTAGTCCGAGTCTTCTTGCGACTCCATCGGCGGGGGACTATACTCGGCAGGTGAGATCTTCCAAGTACGGGAGTACTACGTGTTTTTCCGCTTCATCTGGCCTACTATAAAAAACGATCTCAAGCACAAGCTGAATACGAAAGAGAACGTGATAGTTCTCAAGAGTCTTGCACTTTATGTCAAGCGGGGTATCTGCCAGGCTGGTGCCGACA